AACTACAATACATAGCTGAATAAAACAGCTAAAAACTAAAAACTGTGAGGACATGTGAGACGACCGCCTAGAAACTCAACTAGCCAAGCTAAAATAAAAAACAGACTCAAACACAACCGATACAAAACACTAGAATCGCTCCCTACGAGAGAATAGGAACGACCCTCACAGGGTACTCAGTATAGAGTGCCAACGGCCCAGACCAAAAACTCAAGATCAAAACAGAAAAACCAAACACAGAACACACAAACTAAGCTAAATAAAAAAAAACTAAATGAAATTAAAGCCCTTCCCACAGCGGAATAACCGATCCCAGCACATGGCACCAACAGAATAACGGCTAATCACCTAAGAGAATGAATCGTTGCCAAGGAATCTGCTCCCGAAACTGCCGAAACGCCTAGCTGAAACCGAATCCCGAGACCCCAACACATTAATTTATATTATTATAAATTATAATACTAATTCAACATGAATCGAACTTGATAAGACAAAGATGTCACCCGGGCTCCCTCGACTCGGACGGCCACCGTACCTGCAAGAACCCAAAGTCGGGGACCCCGGGAGGGGTGCCCGGCTTTGGGCCTCCGATGCTTACGTCAGTGATCAGATCATATGAGTACCTTAGCCCCTTTTTTATAGGGGGAGTGTACCTATAGTCCAAATTGGGCTTGGCCTAGGTTGGACTTGACCCATATTATCATATCAAGTGTATTAGCCTATGTATAGGCGTATTCTTCAATATATACCCCTAAAAACTAGTCGGGTATGACATACTATTCAGATACTACCGGTCGAGCCGGCAGTACTAGCCGTGGCTATATCATCTAGTCCCCCCACTCTGAGCGAGTGAGCATAACTCGATCCAAGAGTGAAAAATAGAGTGACTCGCCATTGGAGTCAAACATGAAAACTGAATGGTTGCAGAGGTAAAATGTCAAGTGACCCGCCACTGAGGTCAAACCAAAAAGATCTGCATTCGATATCGAGAACCCAGACTGGGATAAAAAACTAAAAGACCTCTGAGGTCGAAAATAAAAGACCTAGCTCTGAGGTCGAGCACCGAAAGACCATTGTCTGAGATTGAGTACCGAAGCTAAGGTTGAATGCCAAAAGATTTGTCTCTGAGATCGAGCACAGAAAACTGTGTCTGAGATTGGGTATTGAATAACTCGACGATACCTCTAAGTCGATAACCAAGATTGAAGTCGAAAATCCTAATCCAAAACTTTATCTGAAATCAATCTCGAAAGACCTGCCTCTGAGGTCAAAAATTGAAATACCTGAATCTGAGATCGAAACTCGAAAGACCTGCCTCTGAGGTTGAAAATTGAAATACCTGAATCTGAGATCGAAACTCGAAAGACCTGCCTCTGAGGTCGAAAATTGAAATACCTGAATCTGAGATCGAAACTCGAAATACCTGCCTCTGAGGTCGAAAATTGAATGACCTGGCTCTGAGGTCGAGTACCGAAATCGAGGCCGAATACCACAGGACCAATCCTCGAAGTCTTGAATTTTAAAATTTGAACTTACTACAAAATAAACAAAGCAATTTGTCGTGTCAAAACTTTTGGTCCCTGCTAAAAGATGGCTGGCCCTAATTCTCACGGCGGTGGCGCCGCCATAGACAATTATCTCGTTCAACTTAGCACACTGAGCAATCAATCCGGAGGCATCACTGGAGAAGCCCTCACATCGGGAGTCGCTGAAGACTTTCTGCCATTGAATAAGGAGGCGATTCCTCCGCTGGTCAATGGCCGCTATTCTAAAAGGCGTCGGCCTCTTGATCCGGGGATTTCGACAGAGAAAGAAAGGAATGGGGGGGGGGGCACCGATGGCGATACCTATATCCGTAGTTCTGCAGGAGAAGGCGGCTGTGCCTCAGAGATTAAGCTTTAGGGATATGGTGAGCAAGAACCACCCACATGTTGTCGTAGACGCTGAGGCGGAAGCGAAAGCGGGAGTTGACGAGGATATATCGATGGACTTTTTGAAAA